CTTTCATAAATTTCCCTCTTTTACTTCCAAAACTTTCAACCATGCAGAAGAAAAAAAAAAAATTAACAGTCCCAAAATAGTTGCATGATGACTGGAAGACATACATATAAATTAACAAAAACAAAAAAACTGATTTATTAACCATACTTGGAAGCATCTACTTATTACGACTCAAACACAATTCATTTACCAAACTTTTTTTTTTCCACTACATCTAAAGGTGATGGTACTTTCAGGTTATGCCTACAGAGCACCACTGTCAACTGCAGAGAAACTCACAGAAAGCTGGGTCCCATATACAACATAATATTTTTAATTTAAATGATCCATATGTGTTCATTTTCCAAAAAGGCTGCTGATTCTTTTAATAATGGATTTTTATTTTTTGAAGAAATGGTGCCAGTATTGCATATCACCAGAAAGAAAATACCATCTATATAGCATATAATAAAAGCAACAGGAATTAAATAAACATTTCAAAAATATGCAAGAAGAAATAAAATAAAATAGTTTCCTTGTCAAATTTAAATAAAATAAAATTATGCATGTAAATAATAATAATAGTCTTAAACCTCATAGTTACAAAATGTGACTGGCATGTGATGATTTCACATAAGCATGGTACCTGGCTGTAAAAAAAAGTTAAGAAATATTAACATGAGCCGTAACTCACATTCTTCCCTACTGGATCTAGTCAGGATCCATAACTCACACAAGTTATTGAGTTAATGAAGAAAAATGCAATGCTCATGATCAGTAACCATGCTTAACAAAATCCTATAAACCATATAATATTACTTATGTTTTGTGCACTAGCTTGGACCACTGCTCTCTCTGTTATCTACTTCCTTCTTTGTAGTATGTTTATCTTTCTTTCGTGGTCGGTATTTCTCCCAGTGCTTGTGGTCCAGACAGTTAAAATCCTCTTCATGAACAATGTCCTTCAAGTATTTGGCAAGTCCAAGTAATTCCTTATCCTTCTCACGGTTCAGATGAGCTCGTTTGAACGGTCGAATCTTCAGCCCATTACCAGGATTCATCAGGAAGTTGCGTCTGATGTCATCAAACATGATCGTATTACGAGAAGAATACTGATCAAATTTACCCCATATTACACCCAAGGGTTTAACCTGTAGTATAGAATTGCAAGACTTATAAACAGGAATAATTTTCTTAACATAAGAAAGGAAAATCAATGTTGGAAAGTGCGTACAATACCACAAATAGGCCTGTTTCGTAAATGTGTATTTCTGAAATCAGCTTTAATATTTCACAGTCATTATCTTTGAAAATATAGCATGGGAAAGCATGTATGAAACAAACAGTGTTTGCCTTAATTACAATTCCAACTTTTGTTCAAATATTTTGTAAAAAAGGAAATATTGTGGTAGGTAATGTCCAATTTGGAATAGAAGGTTATAGATATCTGTTCCATTCAAATAAGTTGGCAACTTTGCATAAAGCAAGAATCAGATTTTGCATATAGCAAAATTAATGACTAACTATTTAAGATGCTTCATTATTTCAAGGGAGATACAAAGAATCAAGGGTCTGTATGTGGTGTTGCCAAGTTGCAAGAATGAACCACTACACCAGTGGTCCCCAACGCGGCGCCCGCCAATCCCCCCTTCTTCTCTCTCTCTCTCTCTCTCTCTCTTTTTTGTGTTTTTTTTTTTTGTGATGCCCGCGTTGTTACGGAAAGAGGTTATACTGAATAATGAAGGCCGTTCAACCATGAACATAATAAAATCAAAGCACAGATCTCAACTTACTGACGCCCATCTTGATGATTGTTTGCGAGCAGCAACATCATCCTACACTCCCAAATTTGAAAAACTGGCCGATGAAATGCAGTGCCAAACTTCACACTAACTTCCCACTTGAGTAATAATAATTGTACTTATAAAACTACGTATTTTTGATTGCACGGTTTCTTGTATCATTAAACGTCGTGTTGTTTTGTGTATTATTTGGTGTCCATATCTTATTTGCCCAGAGAAAAGAAAATTTGGCTTTCTTAATTGGTTGGTGCCCGCCATGATCTCATAAACTCTCAAATGTGCCCGTAGGCACAAAAAGGTTGGGGACCACTACACTACACATAAGACAGATATTGGTCAGTCAGTTTTAAGCAGAAGATTTAGTGTCAAACTGTCAGTCACACACAGTCATGTTTAAATCCTAGCAAAGACAGATGTGTGTGGTCAGCTGCACGCTCTGCCGACTATAAGTACTAACATAAAAAATATAAACTAACCTGCACGACTCCATATTTAGGAGTGAAGATAGATATCATGGCCAAGTTATCCAGATAGAACACAATTTTGTAATCATTGTGAGTTGACACACCCAGCAACTTCATCTTTTCTTCAATCCACTTCATGCTTGTTGCTGACCAGATAACAATGTCATAGTCCTTTGGGAAACAAATCATACAAAACAATGGAAAAATCTGTATATACATTTCTTTTATATAAACATTTATATGCAGTACAATGCTTGGTATTAAGATTTGTGTGGAGTGTCCTGAATATTTTTCGTGACAAAACTGGTGACTGTACGTCATAATATATCCTGGATCCCGTACGCTTATGACATTATTTTTATTTCCACTTCAGAAATATGTATGGCCACACTGTTAGTATTTTGGCAGTAATGATTAAATAAAATGTAGACTGACCCACACAGACGAAGTTCTTCCTCCTTTTACAGGCATCTGGCTGTTCAAGTAAACTCCTTGTTGTGACAGAATGCAAACACTCTCCATCCTAAGCCAATTACAAGCAGTTCATATCCCCACATTTCCTGTTACTTAATATTACATTTCTATTTGTCTTTATTCTTCCAAAAATGTAATGTAAGTAAAAACAACTCATTCAACTCTGTAACTTGCTTCTGAATAAGTATAAGCATACAGTTTATTTAGAATTCAAGTTTAGTGACAGTCCTGACTCACAAAAATTATTTTTTTGTACTGCTTTAGCTTTAAAATTTCCTGCGATTTATCAGCATAAAATTTTATAAAAATGTACTGATCAAAAGCATACATGGTTCCTGGTTACAAATTTATACTACCCCACCATATAATTTTTTACAAGTTCTCCTTAACTTGGAAAATTTGGGGAGAATATCTAAATATAATAATAAAAGAGGAATAACTCACCAGCAAAATGACATACATACCTGGTAAGCTGATGTGAGAAATTCATGAAGATATGGCCTCATTAACTCATAACCTGTTTCAGCTGCCGATCGGTGATCATACAATGTATAATCAACGTCAAGTACAAGCAGTTTCTTGCCAGGTCGAGGCTCATTCAACATATTGATTTTATATTCTCTAACCCGGCGTTCAATCTTTGCTAAGTACACCTACAAACAAGTATGAACAATTAATTTCAAGAGCATTTTATTAGGGAATCATGTTCATCACCAACATACTATTTATTTTATTAAATTAAAATATGCTGTCAATAGTTCAGGCTATACAGTATCAAATGACTTAATAATTAAAAGAATAACAAATTGGAAAGAAAGTGGTCATAACCTAATTCAAGGTAGTATCCCAACATATGTCTGGAGGGACCAAGAATAGCTGATCTCTCGCTGAAAATTGAGCCTTGGATCTCTTGAATATGAAGCAGGACTGTTAACCACTTAACTGTGATGTCTGGTTAACCAGCTACTGAATATATGACTCGGTCAACATACGTATGGAAGTACACAACATACTTCTCTGCTTTCTATTGCAATCTCTTCATCTTCAATGTCAAGATCATTTACAACATCAGGAATGTCTTCAGGAGGGGCTGAAGCATCAGCAATGTCTTCTTCTAGAGAGCCCATCATCATAACTTTAAATCCTTGCTTGAGCTTAAGTGTGGACAACTGGCATCCATCCTCTGGCATTTTTCCTTAAAAATATATAAACTTAAAGGGTTAGTTAAAAATGTTAAAATTCAGTTGTCACATTATGATAATTATGACAAAACAAATTTCATGAAATTTTGTACTAACAACAAAACTTGTGTACATCTAAATATGGGGTACGATGACAAAATAATCAAGGAAATGGAAACAACTAAATTTCTTGGCCTATAAATTGACAACAAATTAAACTGGAAAACACATATTCAATGCAATATCCCTAAACTAAGCTCGGCATGTTTTGCTATGAGGACAATTGCAGCACTTGTGGAAACAGAAACTTTAAAATTAGTTTATTTTGCTTACTTCCATTCCATCATGTCATATGGAATCATTTTCTGGGAAAATTCAATGGACAGCAAAAAAGTATTTTACATTCACAAAGAAAATCATTAGATTAATGGCAGGCACTAAAAGGAGAGCCTCTTGTAGGGAATTATTTCAGAAGTTGAATATTCTTCCACTACCCAGTGAATTCTTGCTCTCGCTATTATCATTTGTAGTGGATAACATGTAAAAATTTATAACAAATTCAGATATCCACAATATAAGAACAAGATGCACATAATCTTCATGTGCCTCATTTTAACCTCAGTAAATATCAAAAAGAAATTTACTATACTGGAATTAAGTTATTCAATAATCTTCCACCTACTATCAAAAGTTTAAATCACAATATGAAAATGTGTAAGCCAGTATTAAGAGAGTATCTCCTGTCTCACTCCTTCTACTCAGTAGAAGAATTTACATCACCCAAAAAGTCTCAACTATTATAAATACACATAATATTGGTGATGGTTTCTAATCATAATTATTTTGCTGTAATACTGTAGTTCCAAAAATATGTAAATAGCTGTTATAACTATGTATTTATATTTGTACACGAAACAAGTAGTGTATTTGTGCTATGACCTGTTCTACATCCTTGGCTTAGGCTTATGAAGGATCTATGGAATGCAAATAAATTCTATTCTATTGATAATATGCTGGATCATAGTATGTATTGTGTGTTGCACTAAGGGGCCAGTGCATTACGTTTTAATGTATATGGTCTTATTACTCAAGAAATGTTTCTAACATTATTTAAAATACGTAAATCCCAATTCTGGGTATTTGTATAATAAAACTAATTTATTTGAAAACAGGATCATCTTTATCGCAGTATATTATACAGTTTTAAATTCCTCATCCCCCTTAAATATCGCTCTAGTTTGACGAAATTAACTCTGATACTCTACACACAGGAATTTATACTGGATATGTAAACAACAGATAACCTAACAACATACAACTCTATACCTTTAAATTTAAGATTAAGTAGCTTCTGTCTTTCCGGACGAACACCCGTTTCTTTATGAATTGCATTCTTTAAAGTACCGATAGAATCACTGTCAGACAAGTTGCAAATATCGTATTCTTTTCCATTCCATTTTACAACAATCTTTACTTCGTTCTCCATGTTGCTTACATACACCATGTTATTATTTCTGTCATAGATTAATAACATTTTTGACAACAGCGAAACGACCTGTGGGCAAAGATTTATGCCGGTTTATATACATGTCGTTCGATTTTCTACCACCAGTCCGCAGGACAAATATTCTACTACCAAAATATTTGTTTCTAAGATTTGAGCTTGTACTGACAAGAAAGGAAATAATGATCTATGTTGTAGTTACCAGCGTCTCGGAGGAATGTCTGTAATCACAAGATTACACGATTTGAAACTCTAGAAGACTGTAATTGGCATGAATTTTTTCTTTTCACAACTTCAATTTCCAGCGTAATTTCCCAGAGTTCAAACATTTCATTGAATATTTTGTTTTCGTATACTGATGCTTGTTTTGCCTGTAGAAAGTGATGCCCTGCGTCTTTAAATTACATTCAACAATAACGTAACACTGGCAACGGCATCTGAAGTCCCCTGACATGATTTTTATGATTCCACCTGCAAGTACTATTGCAAATTTTTAATGACATAGTAAATTTCCAAATTTGTTTGCTGTCAGTTGGGTCCAAATATTTTCTAAAATATTTTTTTTAAATATTTATTTAAACTGCTGTAAATTACAAGGCTTCTATTAAATTCTTCATGCCAGTAAATTTTTTGATGTTTTTCCAGTAAACATAAGTGTGAAAGGTTCACATCTATTAAACTGGACATGTGCAAAATGTATTCCATAATCTACAAGACACTTGCTGTGGTGCACACTCAGGACCAGGTTTCCATCTTGCCTCCATTCCACACCAAAATATCTGATTCATGAAAAAGTATGTTCTTCTGATAGGTATTTGTAATGAAAATTAAAAAAATAAATAAATAAAGGGCCCAACATTTATACCAACTGCATAATTATTGAATTATATGTAATAAAATATTTGTCACTACCATGTGTGCTGTTACATTAATCTGCTGAAAATATAACTCCTAAAAATAAATAGCAACAAATGTAAAATTAACATTTTGTCAAATCTTGAAGGTTACAAATGTGATCACTTTCCTAAAACCACTGTGATTTTAACCTATTGGAGTCTAACATCAAGGTGAACCCATGGGCAGTCATAACATCCGTAAAAGCATCCATGAGCAGAGATCACATTCTTTTATATGGTCTGCAGTTTAAATGCAAAGCAAAGCAGGAGGCCACTTGAAGAGTTTTCAATGGATTAAACAGTATTCCTATGTCATACTAACATGATTAGGACAGAGAATTATGGTAAAAGTGAATACCAACCAGCATGCCTTCCAACCTGTCAGTATACACACATACACACTTTTACCCATCCATTTAATCCTCAATATATCCTAATCCTAATACACTGTTCATAATCTCTCTACATATCTTAAGTACTTCCTATGTAAAACAACAGTATTTCTTCTAACTTATATATATATATATATTTCTGTGTGTGTCCATTTTGTACAATCACATAAAAAATTGAAACACTTATTTAAGAAGATTGTCTTGCCCAGTCAAACATTCAAACGACCAGAATTATTAGATGAACAGTAACTACTGTCTTCGTATACATTTCTGTGATAATATGTAATTACTAGTTGAGACCTACACACTGTTTACAATTTCTCTGCTAGTATTTGGACCAAATTACTATTTTAATTGAGCTTTTAATGTAATATTTAGAGTATGGTGTTTACTCAACCTTGGTTTCTAGTGGAACTGTATGACAGGATGATGCAGTTGGAGGAGCTAAACTGTTTTAAGTTAATATTCAATACTTCTACAGAAGAATAACATTTATTAGAAGGAGGGAGAACACAAAATTCTCCACAGTAACTGCAAGTTCACAAAGGGTGATACTAACAATGTGTCATTTTGTCTTCAACAACATGGTTAAAATTGGAAGTACACTCCACATAACTTTAGTCTGAAAATTTCACAGTTCCAAATATTTAACTTGAATGAAGATTGGAATAGTTTGAATAATAAAACATATAACAAAATATTAAATAAATTATTCAACATGTTTGGAAAGTGTATAATATACTTGAAACTATGAAATATTTTATGTTTGCTTAGAGAAAATTTGTAATCCAATTTTCTGTTGGAAATCACACATGAAGTTTCAATTATAATGTACAACAGGTGATAATACTTTGGCATGATATTCTAAACAAAATGTAATTTTGATAAACACATATCCAGCAATTACATTCTTTTGTAACATTAAATGCTACTGTACTTCCAAAACTTTCCTTCACAAAAAATATATATAACATTTCTGATCATTTCTGTATTAGAATGTCATATTCAATATACAAGCCTTCAATTCTTTTCCACTGTCAATTGAGATTCATGTATGTGCAATCAAAGATTTAACTTTATATATAAAACAAACAAATGGATTATCACATTGATGATTGTAAACTGCTACATACTACTTGATAGGCCTTTAAAGAGGGAATATGCTTAATTATATGAGAATGTCAGCAATGTCTGAACAGATGTTCACTTACCTAGAAGTATATCTGGATTTATGAACGCTTGGTAGTTTCATAAGTAATGGCTTCCTTGTGTCACAACTGAAAGACACTGTATGAGAATAACTTAATTAAAAATTAAATCTGTATTTGGTTTTATGTTAATTATCTTGACTATGTTAAAATTCCCAAGCTTAGTACAATTTAAAACATGGTTACACAATTCCTCCAACTTTTATAGTCTGCTGTAACATGAAATATAATTCTGTACAAACATTAAACATAGGTATTTTTCGTGACAATATGTATACTATGTATTTCAACATGAGTAAACAATGCTATATACATTTTTAAAGGAGAGTTTAACCTATACCTATACTAGCTGAGCAAACCAATTCACTGTTTTATCTGACATTTTTTAAACTAAGTAGTGCTGTGGTAGTAAGGGTGTACAATACTTCAGAAGTTAAAATATGAGGTATTCTAAAAAGTAAAAACAACATTCAAAATCCCATTCTTTTTGTTATTATTAAGAACGGTAATATGCATTGCCTTCAAAATTTAGAATATTTGCTTCACATTATAACAACAATATTAATGTATAATAAACAATAGCCATAGTTACAACAATAATAATATTAATAAACTAATTTGTAATATCCCAAATACAAAAGTCTGACATTTAAAATGGTTTCTAAAAACAAAAATCCAATTTATGAGTAAAATAAACAAGAATTACATAATTATAATTATAATAATAATAATAATAATAGTAGTAATACATGTAACATATTAAAAACAAAATGTATTTCAGAAATAGCTGCTGCACTATGTACCTCAGGGGCAAGGTTTGTCTCAGGTACATAGAAGTAAATACCATATAAAGTGGTGAATAGATGGGATAATAATAATAATAATAATAATAATAATTTCTAGTTAGCTGTCTGGAATTATTAAACCAGTGAGGGAATCAACTGTTCAGGATATTTATTATAAGACACAATTTTACGCATTCTCTGAGGTGTTAAATTTCATCTTCTGTATTGTAAGATGTGCATAATTTAGCACAAAGGACTGTGATACATTTCCAAAGTGCCTCTTTTTTATGATCAACACTTCCTACATTAAATATATTCTTTTACAGAGGATAGAAGTAACATTTAAATGACTCAAAAAACAATTTTATATTCCGTATTGATAAGTCATAAAATGCTAGCATTATTATTACTATATTATTTGGCCTTACTTAAAGACTTTCTGGTCTTTATTCTTACAAAGCTTGGCAGTATAAAAAAATGAGGGTCCAATTAAGTACATTTCCTGCCTCTGTAAGTCAAAATTACATTCCAAGCAATTAAAAGTACAGACTTGTCTAATTATTCCACATACACATTATTGCTAATGCAATACCTGTTGTACTCTGGATTTGTCACTAGATAATTAATAGCTCAATTAGACATAAGGGACTCTTTATATCCTGATAAAGATTTGGACTCTCTTCAGATTCATTATATACAAATTTATATTCTATGTCAGGAAGTTGACAGTGGCTTAGTTGGTAGGAAGATTTATGTTCTGTGGAATGAAATGAACACAAAATTATTCTGATGTTATGTGATTGAAGTCATTTTCATATCAAGAAAAATTTAATTAAAAATAGCCATGTTCAGGATTATAGTAACATGGAAGTGAAGTATTTATTATGCAGCGATTAATGGTGCCTTAAGGATATGTTACAATTTGCATTTACAGGCATTCACCGAAATTCATTAATCTTTAGTCCTACTATATTTTTCATAATTTGTGCTCATATGATATCATTTAAGTTTCAATGTCAGTAAATTCAGAAGAGTTGTATATATTAAAGTCAGTGAAAACACAAAGCACCATATGAGACGCCCTGAGACCTCATCACTTTATTCATGAACTATTATGACTACAAAGGTCAATATACTTGTCTGTCAGAACTGTTATGCTGCACTGGTGCAGAACGCAAAGAAAAATGGCAAAAAATGACCAAGTGTGAAACTATACATGCCACAATATTTGAAGGGTGTAAGTTCAATAATACATAAGTTAAAATAAGACAGTATAAGCATTTATCAATTTACAAGTGACTTGCCATATGTCATGCATAATTTTGATTACAAAAGCTCATAGAATGAGGCCACTTGGGAAACCGAGGCCAGAAGGGAGAATAATTTTAACATGGGCCTTAGGGAATTGATTTGGGCAGTGTTGAATGTTAGACTTTGTAATGACAGTTTGAAACTTTAGGTTATATTAAAATAAGAATTTCTCACATGAGATAGGGAGAGCCCTGTATTTTTTGGTAATATGTAGTAATTTTTTAAGTATGTCATTTTAAAATAAGATTTATAAACAATTCAGACATGTTTGGATCTATCCATGTTCATCTAGTATACTCAAAACAACAGTCACTCACACATAAAAGTAATCTATAAATATTTTCTTAAATCATTTGTAGTGATATACTGTTATCTTTAAACAACACACTTCTAAAAACAATGAAGATTAATGTTCTATGGACTAGAGCCAACACTTGATCATTATTCCAGAAACAATTACATCCTCAGCTAAGATACACAGCTATGTATATCATTCTTACATTTTGGAAATCTTCTGTATTTGACACAAACAAGTACAGAGAAATGTACTCAACATGTACTTATAGTTTCTTAATGCATTCTTTGCTATTTTTCATAATTTACTGACCTTGACGTTTACTTCTTGCAGATACAAATGTATTATTACAAAGCTATTTGAAGTACAAACATCAGACAATATTGTATCATGTAAGAAATACTATTAATAACTGCATTTTAGAAGGTTTTCTGAAAAATTTGTTTTATATTTATTTTTGTAGTTTCATCTAAAACACCACTTAATGAAATGACAAAGCTCAATTTGGGCTCCATGTATAGTCATAACTGATCAGTATGAAGCAAACTAACATTGTCATAATAACGTTTCATATGATTATCTCCCAGCAACAAATTTAGCCAAAATCTGTGAAGGACTGAACTATATTATCTGTTAGTAAGAACTCCAGTATGCCACCTGCATTTCTTGATAAGTAAAGTTTTGAAAATGACCTCAGAAATTCTTTAAGTATTATATCACGTATTAAAGTTCAGTCTGTAATCTTCTTCATGTGCAAATTGAACAAAATTTATTTGTATGTGTTGATTTCGTTTGCAAGAATGTTCATGAGCTACTGGTTCTCAGGCATGGAAAATTTTAAGCCTGTACACAATGAGAGAGAGAGTATAGATACAAATGAAGAACATGTTTAAATATTCCTGAGTCTAGAAAAGCTGCTTCAGAAATGCTCTCTACCTGAATATTATGCTAGCACTTAAATAGTTTAATAAAATCTTAACATAAATAGTTTCATACACATAATATTTTACTTGTATTATGTATATGAGAAAGTGTGCTTATCACATGGGAGATTTGCAAGATAAAGGAACTGCACAGTGCATAACCAATTTGAACTTTTCTCTTCAGGTACATAATAACAAAATCAGAATGTATATAGAAGAAAGGCTAAAATTTTTGGTTTCAGGAGGCCTTGAACTGTTTATTGTATATTGTATTTAACAATGAATGATAGGTCAACTTTTGGCCCTGTATCACAGAATTTTACTTTTAGCTTAAGTGATAAATAAGAACAATTTTACAGTAACCTATATAAGTGTATAGGAACATGTACAAGGCATTCTAACTTTGGAAGAAACATGACAAACATGCTGAGCAAACCATTGTGCTTTAAGTTATGATAAGAGTAATGCATAAAAGTCCTTCACTATTCTATATAAATGTCAATTCACGGTGGAAGCTATACAGTATTGGAATAATTTATTCATGGTATGAGATACAATTATTTCATAATATAGTGGCTTTCTTTAAAATACTGGTACAATATATAATTCTGATCTGTTTCCCAATAGAATTACACTGTAATTATAAATAAATGTATCATTTTTAATGTCAAAGTTGACTAGAAGTGTCTCTTTATATATCAAATTGATTGTTTTAAAAGTAATATTCACTCAAATTATAATTTGTTTTGCCTAATATACCTTTTTCACATTCGATTTTTATAACACTCTAGACAAACTTAAAATTTGTCTTCAGTGATGAAGTAATTGGTTTCTGAGACTTCAATTTTTAAATATTTTCATTACTACCCTAAAGAAGCATGGCTGAGAGACAGTCTACTATAGGATTATACTTATTTTCTCCAGCATGTTCTTGCAGTAATGTCATATTCCATACTGGAGTAATGTTTACAGCTTTGTCTAACAGAACTTTAACAAAATTAGTGTGCTGCGCATTTTAAAACAATTTGAAGATATCTACATGCATTTGGGAAGTATTCAGTTCATATCTCAACTGATAACTGATTATCCTGACCAAATTTATTTATGATTTCCCATCAGTGAAATGTCAAGGTAGTAACTTAAAGAATGCCATGTCCATCTAAATTAGTAATTAACAATCATCCTATCATAAAACATTTTAAACTACATAACCCCAGCAGCTGATAGTGTGATAAAATAAATAATGAATAATGCATTCACTTTATATGCTTAGTGTAAATAATGCAAATAAATGATGCTTAAACTATAAATTATATTTTATGAGGAGTGGGTGAAATTCACATATAAGATGAGACTTGTTCTAATAAATGGACACTAAAAAAGACACCACAGAAATGGTCTAAAACCTCCTGACGCAATTAATATGCTGCATTGTGACATATATATTGTAGTTCATAGTTTAAGTGAGGACACTGATGACAGTAACTTACACATGGAAATTATATCTTTTGAAACCCTGTTTTTATAAAATGTCAGTTCTCAAAAGCAGTACCATTCATTTACTCACCGGAGCAGCAAACTTACTTGCTAATAGTGGAGATATAATCCAAGCTTCATGGAAAATGCCAAAAATTAGGAACTGTGCAGCTCAGAAACCAACACCCATAACATCATAATACTGACTCCTGGAAAACTGAGTATTAACTGAAACAGTGTTAAGCTTAAATTTCCTATAAAATTAACACAAATAAATACAACTGTTCACTGCAGCTTAACAATAATACTATAAAATCACTTACTTGCACCTTTAAATGCATGTAAATTATTTCTTTTTAACTCTCGGACGAAAACTACAAAGTAAAGAAATTAATGAACAGACTCACAAGGACTGACTGACTATGCATGTAATTCAATGCTATGGAATACTGAAGGCACTATCAAATCAAAAAATAAATAAATAAATAAAATAAAATCTAAATGTTTTCTTTAAAATAAACATAAGCGTGAGAATTTATAGTTATCTACACAAAGATGAAAGCCACCAAAATCACTCTTATGGCTTCCTTAAGTATGTGCCTATAAATGTTACAACAAATATATTTGATGACAAAGATGACTGTCTTTATACCGCTGTGTAGTCTGGTAGAAGTTTACTGGCATTCCAGAGGTCCTTGCTGTCTTGTCATTGGGTGATGATATAATTGCCCTGATGATGGAGGCAGCAAAAACATCTGAAATGGTGGTAAACTTCTACCAGACTACATGATACTACAATCCAGAAGACAGCCATTTTCATACTCACTGCCATGACAGCTTCAAATCCTACTTAAATATATATGAGGGCTAAGTGGAAATTGAAACAATTTACAAGCACAGCAAAATAATATGGAGTGAAGCAGTGTTAAGT